TTTTTTGTGACCCTATGCAGATCCCTCGCGGAGTCGTCCAAGTTATCTTCTCCGAATGCTACATCGACTTAACCGATATACCTCAATCTGATTATAATCGGACCCCCTTTCTTTCAAATTCGGTCAAATGCGTTATGTATCTCAATATCCCTCGCCCCGGCACTATTGATTTGGTTGCGTCAAAAATCTTTCAATTATCTCTGTAGTGTAAAGACGTATAAACGAGTATGGACCAATTGGAATCAAAGGAAGCTTAATTCTATTTAGTTGTGTGGAGAGGTCCTGTGCATCATGAGTACTCGGGTTGTGGCTTCTGTAATTGCCGATGACGAGATAACAATGGAATGAATAGCAACAATCGTCAATCACGTAGCATTAGAGCAATCTTTTTTTTACAATAAGATTTTTCTAATTTGTCTCGTTTCAAGAGAGAATATAGTGACGGAGTAAAGCAGATAACAGGTAAATTCATAATAGGCATATTTTCATGTAAAGGAATTGTTTGTTTCGAAAGTTCTCTTGGCAAATTTATGCCTTGTGGCTCTGAAGGTATTCCACCATTCTAATTGAAAAACGAAAGGGAAGACGCGATGCGTAATAAAATTCTTGAGTTTTCCTTTACAATTTAGATATTACAAGAGTAGATACTACAATTAAATAATGTTTCGTCGCCCCATTCACAAAACGGGTACAAACGATTGGCTTCGTTTACACTCCTCCATTCGCACGTTCGTTGACAACGATTATTTTGTAGCAGGTAGATTTCCCGATTTAAATAAATCTACGCCAGGATATTTCGTTTTACTTGCACATTATAAATTTTGCGAGACGTTTTACAATATGCCGAACAATGAGCAAAATGGTGGTAAGAAAACGTTTTCAAGGGCGATAATGATGCTATCTCTCAGATTCATTTCCTGGACTTGTTTAAAATCCCGGTCCATTGTGCAGGGATTATGGGAAATACTTGGACCCTATATATCCGTCCTTAAACTTGAGGATCCAGACACTTTCACGTTAATGAAGACGTTGGAATAACAATACACGAACGCCTCTCTAGACGGATTTTTTGTTCGATATAAAACGAACTGGGTATTTACTCTGCTCTATACGTTCCCCATTAAAACGGAGACGAAATTGAACGTACTCGTATCTCAAATGCGATGTGTCACCGGTAACAGTTTAATGGTTCATAAATTTAATTAATAGAACATTCTACTAATAACTGTATAAATTCTCCAGAAAAAATAAGAATATCTCACGATCTGAATACATTAACGAAAAGCACGCACGAATTTAAATAAAGAAAAAACCAAAATACTACTAGCACCCTTGCTAACGTAATGCACACATTTGAGGGGTTGAAAATGGTAAGCACATCTTCTCCGTAAGCCACGTTAATATTTAAGTAATTACAACTCACAGGTCACGCGGGTTTCAGAATGTTCATTAAAATTTAGTTTTCCCCAGATTCATTTTCATACACTCACACTATTGCACATCACGGTTACGTTGGATGGCACGAAACGGTGCATGAAACTGTGTTGAATATAATGAAGAGAATAAACATTTAAAGCAAGACGGTAATATTGCAAGTTTTACAAGACTTATAATTGCAACTCCTTCTTTTATTGTTTTTTATTACATGCAAGTACGCTACGAATATTGTTTGTACAAAAGAAGAATTTAGTCACGTGTACTAATCGTAAAAAGCTTTGCGTTTTTGTTCTTTCTTATTACAGGTGGAAATTAGTCTTTCTTTTTTCAGTGGTGTTTCTTCCTTCCTAAGAATATAAGAATCTACTCGATTAAGCTATCAACAATCATCATAGGACAAGGTGCTCGAGTCCCTATCGTACTTTACCTCTAAGCTATCGAGGCATGCTCACTTGGAGGCGATGTACTAAATACTAATTCTTATTTCTCACTATAACCGAGACCGAAAAATGTGTGAATAATTAAAAAGTGTATTTATAACTCTTGACTACTACATGGATGCGAATACCTACTCGTCCCGTGGTGAGCTTGATATTGAACGAGAAGGCCAGTGTAAATTGAAAAACGCAAATGAGGAAGGTAGTAGTGGAAATGAAAGATCCGAGATAGGAACTAAATTTAGCTAGAAACGTAAAAAGATATGTAAAGTCGAATAATTCCGCCGTGAAATTTTATCAATTAGGAAAGCAAGTTCCCACGAACGAAAGGGAGAGGGAGAAACGGTTGGCACGTTTCTAGGTGAAGGATAAAATAGCGAAAGGTGTAGAAAACCCTCAGAAACTTCGGGAAAAAGGAACGGATATCACAGCCCCAAGTCAGTGTTGATAATCCATTAATCAAATTGTATTTAAAAAAATGTATGTTTTCGCGTTTCCAAAACAGAACTTCAATACGACTGAGACATGAGTGCTTGGTACGATTTTCGCAAAAACTTTTTAGAAATTCATTCCTCATTCATATATTCTATGCAACGATTGAAATTTAGAAATTTCTGTCTTATTGTACCATGGAAATTGCCATGTGTTACTCCTTTAATTGAGTCGTCTAAAACATTCAACCCCGAATTCGGGTTTATTTACCTCTTATCCCAAGACCAATATGTCTGCTACTTCAAAGTATAACTAAAATACTCCTCACAATAAAAATAAGTTGTTCCTTAAAGTTTACAAATTACAATATTTACAAAACCGGCACCTTAACATACAAGCAACACAAGATTTAAGAAAATGCCTCATTCTACACATAAAAGATTAACAATACATTGCAGTATCAAAGTGGGGGATACCAGCGCTACTTGGAATTCCTCCCCATAGGCTCCCTTAGGGGATACATGGGTAAAAACGTTCTTCGTCTATTTGGGTCATTTGTTTTTGGAGTTTTTTATTTTACAAACTCGGTTTGCCCAAATCATACAAAACTCTAAACTTACTGGGTTCGTAAACACACGTGAGAAAATAACTTTTCCCAATACTACTTACATTAAAGCTAAGCACAATAAATTCAATTTTCAGTCAAACCCCACAGATAGTCGGGAATCTGGAAGTTAAAATGGAAACTTAAAAAAAAACAAAGACACTTACTTTTCAAATACGTGTATGATCTTGACGTTATGTAGACTCTTTTTTGTTGAATTCAGACGTTACCAGTACCTTGTTTGGAAGTTCTTTTTTTTTTGCTCCTATAACAAAACTTTAAAACATTAAAAAACGGATTGTAGGTAATGATTAATGAACTTTCAGAACTCTTGAAGAGCTATCCAAAGCCCTAATCAGAACTCAAAATCCATGTGAAATTACCATAAATATTTTACTCGACATTTGGGAAACGTATCAGGGCTGGATTTTCATGTGCCGCTCAAACTTACCTGTTAGATAACCATAATGTGAATAAATTTGTTTCCATGGAAAGTAAAAGGTAGATTAAGGGATGGTAGGTTAAGAATTAAAAATAATATGAAAACCCGACCTCTAATGTATTAAATGTAGTGTTATTGGGGAGACAAGTTATTGTATTATATAGGATAGAGCGCTAATTTATTGCTTAATTATTAACGTAATGTGTAATGTGGACATTATTGCACCGTCTATGTCAGAATTAATTGTACAAATTAGAGAGGGGAGGTGTTGGCGCATTGGACTGGGCTAACTAACTATACCACTGGAAGAGAAACAAGTAAAAAGGATTTTCGCCCTAAGGCGAGTAACTTCAGCGTATTTTCCATAAATTGATCAATACTTCCGCAAAGGCCATACCTATGTGAGCTATGTTTTTCATTACTAGAGGCATATATGGTTAAAATTTTAAAGAAATATCTTCATAAATAAGGAAGTTGACACTTACTGCGCAGTTGATATTGCGCGTCCTGCGCATGTGCAGTTCAATCGTCAAGATTTTCCTTGACTCAGGTGTCAGAGCGATACGCTACCGTATGCAAAAAGAACGAACTAAATATCTTGAAAACTGTAGGAGTAGTTAAGGCCTCGGACAGACGGACGGATAGAGAAAGAGGCTGCAATAGCGCACCCAACTTCGTTGGAAAATGCGCTAAAATACATTAGCTCTAAGAAAGGCAGATACGCGTAGCATTACACTGAGCAAAGCGGCACAACAACTGCGTTATTAAAAAGCCCTCTAACAAGCGCGCGACATAGTAGGAAAACGATATGTCAAACAGCCACCAGCCGATTAAATACGGCATTAATATCGACGTGACGTTATAAAGAGAAGATCGTACTACAAAACCTGTGGGTAATAATAGTGCAATTTGTAACGGAGTAGTAAAATTTACAAACATCGAAACCCTGATTTGTGTAAAATAAAACCTCTACGGCACTGGCAAAAATTTCATGACAATTATTTTATTTTATCCACGGCGAACTGAGTAATAAAAAAATGTTTTTACACCCCTTACCTTTCGGAAATAATGAATAACTGTTATTTATATTCTCCTTTTTAAAAAATACACCACCCTATGAATACTAAACAAAATTCTCATCTAGCCAAAGGAATTTTTGCAATCAACTGCAAATTTTCCGAGCAATGAAACAAAATGACCAAATCCTTTGTTTGGGTTCGATTCTTATCAATAAGTACAAGACAAAATCTGTTCGTGCAAATTGTTCTAATGGGTTGAGTCCTTTAGGAATATTAAAATTACTTCAAATAAAATTAACATGAAAATTCCTAATATGGAAACAGATCGTGTGTTGAATGCAAAACAAAAATGTCCATACGTATTGCGAATCCAAGCAAACCACCTCAAAACTCGCGAAAAATAACGCTCGAGGTTATTATTATGAACAGGAATAAAATGCGAATGTTCCGCTGTGTTGGTACTTGAAAAAAAACATCGACAATTGGTAAAACACGGTATTTTAATAGTGCTTTATTTATCAATGAATTAAACGAATTCACAAAACAAATACGTAGGTACCTACAATACGTTACAACCCTAATATCAATACTTCTCGATCTTCCTATTTTTCCCGCCTGCTTCTTTTTTGCTACCCTTGATTATTCACGGGATTTTCCACATCCTCCCCGGCCCCAGTGATTTCCAAGGGAAATAATAGTTGAATTGGCCGTCTCAAAACGGTCTGGTCGGCAGTTTTCACTTCACAGGCTCTAACTCTTCCATCACGTCCATGAAATAACATCATTATTCGGACTAACTTCCAAAGTAGTCTTGGTACGCTATCGTCATGTAGCAAAGCCACATCTCCAACTTCTATCTTCTTAGACTGAACTTGATGTTGATTATGGAACAGTCGTGATTGTTGCAAATAGTTATTTGACCAAACCTTTTGCAAAATTTGGTTTCTTCTAATATCCGGATGGTTGTTGTTGATATGAAATCCACATTCGTTACTACCCAAAAGGAAATGTGCTGGTGTCAAAAACATTAAATTTTCAGGCTGATCATCCAAGTAGGTAAGCGGTCTCATATTCACCGTAGCTTCAATTTCTGAAATGATGGTTTGTAGTTCGTCACAATCAAGGGATTTCTTTCCAAGTGACAATTTTAGAGCATCTTTTACAGTTTTGACCATCCGTTCCCAAAATCCGCCCCACCACGCGGCGCGCTCCACAATAAATCTCCATTCAATGCGACGTCCTGTGACAAAATTTTGAAATTTATCGGTGCAAATTATTTTGTATAATTCTTTCAATTCTAAAGCTGTTCTCTTAAATGTTTTCGCGTTGTCTGAATAAATGATATCCGGAACTCCCCTTCTTGAAATGAACCGTCTAAATGCGTTAATACAGCTCTCTGCTGTTAGATTAGGAACTATTTCAAGATGTACGGCACGTACCACAGCACACGTTAACAGCATGATGTAAGCCTTTTGCCGCCTCGATTCGTTGATAATGTATAGAGGTCCAGCGAAATCTAGGCCCGTTACCTTAAATGGTTCTGCTGAAGACACCCTACTTCTTGGTAAGGGTGCAAAAGGTTCATTGCCAGGTTTTGCTCGTAATCTCTTGCAAATTATGCATTTGCTCAGTATAGATTTTACTCTTTGCCTGCATTGTAAAATCCAAAATCGTTTTCTTATATGTACCATCGTCACGTTTACTCCACCATGCATTGTGGAAACATGAGAGTTCGAAATAAGTTTATCCGTTAGAAATGACGTTTTAGGTAACACCACAGGATATTTCGTTTGGTACGGTAAGGAGCTTTCCTGTAAACGGCCTCCTAATCTCATTATATCGTCTTCATCAAGAAAGGGACTTAGCGTTAAAACTCGAGAAGAGGGTTCAATTTTTTTACCTCTTCTTAGGTCAGCTATTTCACTTGAAAAATGCTGTCCTTGAGTTACCTTTATCCAATATCTTTCAGCCTCCTTTAACTCTTGAGCCTTCAAGCTTCCAGTTCTTTTGTTCTTTTTATTTCTTAGATTATGGGAATATCTTTTAACATAAGCGGTAATGCTAAAGATTTTCTCCAAACTACTGAATCTCTCAAGTTTGAAGATTGGTTCGTTATTCTGGATTACTTCTTCTCCTTGTACGAGCAAAACAGATGCTTCAGATCCTATCGCGATATCTTCTTCAGGCCATTCTTCTGGTTTAAATTTCAGCCAATTAGGTCCATGTTTCCAAACTTCCGATGTCATAAGACCTTTAGATGTTACACCCCTCGTTAGTAAATCTGCTGGATTCTCTGCCCCTGGACAATGGCGCCATACTCCAACTGAGTTCTTCTTAATTTCAGTTACACGACTGCGAACATACGGTTTCCACCTGTCAGCTTTGCCCATGATCCAATATATCGTTATTTTCGAATCTGTCCACAAAGTGCAGGAATGAAATTTAACGTCAATATTTTCAAGTATAAATTTCTGAAGTCGAGTTGCACAGACTGCCGCGGTGAGTTCCAGTTTTGGTAACGTTAAGCTCTTATCTCCCTTTTTGTCAATTGGAGCTACTCTACCCTTAGACATGATAAAGTTACATTCGACTTCGTTTTCGTTAACTACTCTGAGATACGCCACTGCTCCATACGCCTTTGGGCTCGCGTCCGCAAAAATGTGAAGTGAAACTTCGGAGTTTCTGTCTTCGAGTGCACATCTGGTAAACGAAAAATGTTTCAAAGATTTCAGTTCAAAACACCATCTCAACCATTCATTGGTGATATTATCAGGTGTGGTTGAATCCCAGTCGACCTTAAGTTTCCAAATTTCTTGGAGCAATATCTTATTTGCTCTTACCAAAAAGGGACTCATAAAGCCAAGTGGATCATAAATTTTCGATACTATTTGTAGCACCCCACGTTTCGTTATAGATTTATTATCGATTTCATATAAAACTGAAGTTATATCTACTGCTAACTCGTCATCGTTATGGTACCATAAAATTCCAAGTACTTTCTTGGCATTAACGTTTTCCTCGCGTTTCATCAATTTTCTGAGCGAAACGTCATTGCTGTTCCACTTACGTAAATTCATATTAGCTTTAGCTAAAATTTCTTTGGACTCTTAGTAAATACGTTCGGCTTGAGTTACGTTATCAACTGCTACTACCAAGTCATCCACATAGAATGAAGACCTCAAAATTTCGCAAGTGTCTGCTAGATTTTCCGGCTGCGATTGTAAAAGTTTCTTAAGTGTAACCGCCAGCAAGAAGGGACTGCACTTAATCCCAAACGTTACACGTTTCATTCGGTATTTTGATATTCGTGGAAGATTATTGACGTCATCAATAGGAACGCTATACCACAAAAAACTGTGAGAATTACGATCGCGTTCTGCTATAGCGATTTGCAAGAAAGCTTTCTCGATATCGGCTGTAAATGCAACTCGTCCGACACGAAAGTTCATTAAAATTCGTAAAAGAAACGGCACTAAATTTTCGCCTTGCAAAAGTACGTCATTTAACGAAAGCATACCAGGGGCGTGCGCCGACGCGTCAAACACGATCCTTAATTTTGAAGTGTCTTTGTCATCCCGATATACCGCCCGGTGCGGCATAAAATAAATTCGAATGTCATTTGTCACTTCCGGTAAAAGTTCGGCACAATCATTGTTCATGTATTCACGCATCGCACAATCGTATTCCCGAAGTTTGCCGCGTTCGTTGAGTTTGCGCGTTAATGACTTTAGCCTATTGAAGGCACCGTTAAAGTTAGAATCAACCCGTACGTTTGGCTCTATCCAAGGCATGGCAACACAATATCTATCGTTTTCAAAAGTTATATTCTCATCTAAAAAGTGTTTTGTATGAGATTTGTCCGTCACGTTATCATTGTTTATCCCGATTGTTTCAAGAGTCCAAAAGTTTTCTAACCCGTTACCAACAGTCTCACAATCGAGCTCGCACTGTACGTGTAAAATGTTCGCCACGTTAATCCCGACCGAAAACGCGTATTCGTTAAAATGTCCGCTGCCTACACCGTGAATTGTTCAACCAAATTTGGTTTCGATCGCCATCAAGTCTTCAGTGATTTTCTTCGTGTTATTGGTCACTATCTTCCAATAAAAATCAGAACCAATTAAAAGCGATATTCCATGATGAACGTTAACGTTAGAGTCGCACAAATCCGCTAATCGATAATTTATGCTGAACTCATGTATCAATGGTTCTTTTAATGACGGTGCGCTCAATGAATCAAAACAAATTTCGGGCACTTCAATCGCGTTGATAGTCACCTCATCGTTAATATACTCGCTTTTCAACGTTAATGATACTTTTCGACATAAGCGAGCCGGAGCCCTTTCAGATTTTCCAAAAGGCATTATCGATATTTTGTGTGTCCCTATAACAGGTAAGTTATGCTTTCGTGACACACATTCTTTGATAAAAGTTAAATGGCTACCTCCATCTATAACCATACGTAAAAAACTCTTAGGTACGCCACTGTTCGTTATTATTTGTGCACAAGCGGTTTGTAAATAAATTATTTTGCCTAAGCACCCGTTCGCTAACAAATTTGTCGACTCAAATTTACTACTTGATGCGTCTTTTTTCGCGGATACAGTTACAACAGTTGCAGATTTCTTCTGATACTCTGGATCACACATAGACGTTGCATGTTTCGCTTTACACTTTGCGCAAGACACATTACTCGACAAAACCTTGAATTGTGATTCGACTTGGTGCATCGGAAACAGCGCCCTTTAGATTTTAAAATCTCTTTCTTTTGCGCCAGCGTTATTTTGCTATCACAATCCATCGCGCCATGATCGTTAGAGTTGCAAAACAAGCACTGTTCTTTTACAGATGTAAGCAAACCTGCTGCTGTGCACGTTTTATCACTAGATTTCTGAAATCTATTTTTGTGAACTGAATTTTTCTCGTTACTTTTAGGCTCATCTTCCAAAACTTTAGCCTGTTCAATTGATTCTACTTCTAACTTAATAAAGTTTAAAAGTTGAGAAATTTGATGTTCATATGAGATTTCTTTAGAACTTATGACACTTCCAGCAACAGACTCGTTATCATCATTATCATTAGTTGTAACCTGTCGTTTGAGGAATTCAGTTCTCATAGTAAAGGGTAGTGCTTTTAATAAAATAGATTTCACCATCATCCCATAATTTTGTGGAGACACTCCCAGCGTCTGCAGAGATCGCGTTATTTTTGAAGCTGTATTGTATAATTTTCTCAATGAAACATCATTTGTGGTTTTGACTGGAGTTAAAGCTAACAGCTGTTGAGTGTAGTTATCGGCAATTTTTTCGTTATTTCCGTACTGCTCCTTTAAAAGCTCAACTGCATCTTTATAGCTTGAACTACTGGACGTTAAACCTTGAACGGTTATTGAAGCATTTCCAGTTAAAACAGACTTTAAATATGTAAACTTAGAAGATTCCCCTAGATCATTATTATTGTGAACAGCAGTCTCGAACTGCTCCCAAAAGGCAGGCCACAGTTTATAATCACCGTTAAATTTTATTAATTCTAATTTGGGTAATCTCACCGCCCTTTTGGTTTCTGCTCTTGTAGAAGCTGCTCTGGCTGCACGTCCTTCGGCTGTAATGGACCCCACGTCTTCTTCGACGTCGGCGACGCTGGCTGCATATTTTCCACCCGCGCCTGATAGTTCGAATTCCAACCTGGCAATCGCTGCAACCGCCTTATCTTCGTATTCGATAATTTTCTCGCACTCTGATTCAATCTTATCGACGGGTATCTCACTTGCTACTTCAATATTTACGCGTTTTAACGAGTCGTTCACCGATTTCAGTCTGTTAATTAAAACAATAGCTTCCTTGTGGTCAACCGGCGCGTTATCATCAGACATTTCGTTAGCCCGATCCACAAGTTTCGTTAGCTGCGTCCGATACGTTTTCTTTAGCGCTTGATTCATGATATGCTTCAGTTAATGCACTATTTTTGACAAACAGTTCACGTTATGACGTTAATCAAATTTTTACACTTTAACTGTCAATACCGGCACGTCCGTTAGAAACCGAATTGTCCGTTATTAAAGTTCCACGATTCACTTTCCTCTTTCCCGCGTTTCGGCACCATGAAAAA